CACGTCGCCCGAATGTTCCAGTCTCAGCCGCAGCCCAACACACTCGCCTGCTGCGGCCCGGGTTCTGCGATCGCACACACTTTTGAGCCTCTCTGCAACACTCAAGACTAGCACGACACACACAGTACACGACACGGCACACGACACGCACAACACGCGGGCGGTACCGAGGCTTGTCGAATCGGAGAATGCTGACCACGGCCAAGGTGACCAGTGCCGATGCCGGCTGTGTACCGACGGACCCGTCTCGCGCGCGATTTGCGATCGGCGCCGGCAGCCGGGCATGCAGCACCTGGCCCTCGCGCACCGTTCCCGACTGCACCAGGGCCTCGACCACCACCTCCCCTTTCGGTGCCCCCGCGATGCAGAGCGCATTGACCCGCCGGAGGACCGAAACGCGGGTGGGACCGAACAGCGGCCGCTTGGCCACCTCGCGGCACGCCGCAGCGCCGGTGGTGAGGGCCTGGGCCACCTGCTCCATCACCTCGACCAACGTCGGTCCCTCATACCTGTTTTTTGTAATGTGTTAATTAAGATAACTATAGATAACTATAACTATATTTATCATAACTAACATATAACTATAATTATTTATATATATATAAGCAAAAAGGAGACGTACCAGCCGAGGGCGGTTGAAGGGGCGAGCACATTCTCGCCAGTCCACGCCGAGATGGGCAACATCACCAGAGCTGTGTGTGGACCGAAAGTTGTGGTGGTGTTGAGCGCACCAACACAGATGGTATCATCAATCAGAGCCAGCTTGGGCCTCTCATATCATTCCATACCCTCTGGTTGGTACCCAACCTCGGCCGCCAGTTCCAAGACCGCGTCCTCGATCTCCTGTAAACATATGAATGCATGACAGCGACAATGAATTGCCATCAATGTTAAATATTGGAACACAATCATGTTATCACCGGGGCAGCGCAAGGAGTTCGATCAATAACAACGCATCGAGCTTAGAAGTGTGGCCAGAAGAGAATGAGGAAGATTGGACTTACACGGTA